GTGATTGACACAGCAGTTAATTTTTCATTTAAAAAGAAAAGGTCATGGAGGGAAAGGAGTTGATTCCTAGAGAAGAGTAATGGTGCCACAGGGTCATTGTTGTGGGCTTTGGTCCATTCATGGTGGAACAGGAAATACTGGGAAAAGCAAGGTGTACTTGATTGCCAAAAGCCATTTTTCTTTCTATTTTATATATTCAAAGCAGTCTACTATGTCTTCTACTCTTTTCTCCTTCTCCTGCTCCCCGTGCCCCCATCTCTTTTTCCTTTTTGTGTGTATGGAAGTGGGTTTAAACGAAGGGTCTTCTGCTCTCTCTTGATAGTTTTCTCAAGGCTGGAGCTCTACCACTTGAACCACACAACCCGCTGGGGTGAGGCTTTTTTTTTTGCTAGTTAATTGGAGAAAAGAGTCTCTTGGACTTGTCTACACCATCTGGCTTTGAGCCACAATCCTCAGATCTCAGATTACAGGCATGAACCACCAACTCTTGGCCAAAATTTATTGTCTTGACACTGACAGACATTTATCTTCTGAGTTAAAAACTAGATACAGCAGGGCACCAGTGGCTCACGCCTGTAATCCTAGCTACGCAGGAGGCTGAGATCTGGGGATCACAGTTCAAAGCCAGCCCGGGCAGGAAAGTCTGTGAGACTCTGATCTCCAATAAAGAGCCAGAAAACCAGAAGTGGTGCTGTGGCTCAAGTGGTAGAGCACTCGCCTTTAGCTGAAGAGCTGAGGGACAGCACCCAGGCCCAGAGTTCAGGCCCCACAACCCAAAACAAACAAAAAACTAGACACAGGTTGGAGTGTGGGTTTTAATTCTCCCCCCCACCAATTCCCTATTCATTCCCCTTCCCCACCCCCTCTTTACTCTTTTGGCCAGTTATTTATAGACACTTGTACTCTTCTTTTCTCTTTCCATTCCCCACCTTCCATATCAACAACATGTAATATCACTTCCATTTGGACAGCTTCACATATCTGTCTCTCTGGTGTCACCTTTCTATTGCACGCTCTACCTGGATATTCCCATTCTCTTAAATACCTTCACAGGGCCTTTCAGACAAATATGTTCTAAAGGCTTTTTTAGTCTAGGGACCAACCATGTGAGAAAAGTTGTCTCTTGTAATTCCAGCCTGCAACCATTTGGGTCATCACTATCCATTTGAGTTTTCCAAGTTGTTTAGGTTCTAGCCATGGCAGGATACAGAATAATTATCCTTGTCAAGCTCTTCCCAAATTAACTATTCTTTACTTAAAAAATTTTGTTATATCCATGGTTTGATCTCAGGGCTTTGTACTTGCTTAGTTTGCTTGGTTGGCTGACACTCTATCACTTGAGACACACCTCAACTTTGTTTTTTGCTGCTTATTTTGATGACAGAGTTGAGGACTTTTCTGTCCAGGCTGGCTTTGAACCTCAGTCCTTTGAGTCTCAGCCTTTGGAGTGACTAGGATTATAGGTGTAACCCACTGTTACCCATCTCCCAATTGTATCTTTTTAAGCAAAATAAATTAGTGTTGTTATACATCAATAAATTTGGGGTGATTTGTTATGCAGAAATAGATCACCAAAATACAGCAAATAAATATATTTCCCCAGGGCTTATGATGTAAGATAGGAATACAGCTAGTTCTCTTTCACACAGTGTCTCAATACTTGAAAATTCCTTAAGAACAAATATTACATATATCAAAGAATTAGGGTGTAGCCCAGTGGTATATATATTCCCAGCATGAACTGGACTAAAATAAAAGGAGAGAATATTTCCTTGTTCATATTTTGTTCTAGTACCAAATATAATGATTAATGCAAAGAATTAAAATGCTTATTGAATTGGAGTATATATATAAATATATATTCACTATAAAGTATGACATCTTTTCTATACTGATTTTCTCAAGCAGTGCTTGCCTTTGCTGTATTCACGTACTCTTGTTTATCACCTTAAAGTTTTATTGCTTTCTTTGAACAAGTATCTTTGGTTGTAAGTTAATACATTTTTGTGACTACTGTAAAAAAAAGACTGTTTATGCTATATTTTTGCTGGACCAAAATAGGACTGGAAATATAACAAAGTTTATCATACGCTGTGAAATTTTGCTTCAGTTTAAATTTTAAAAACTCTATTTACATGGTATCTGTTATCAAAAGGTACTATTCAGGTTTGGTGCTGGTGGCTCACTCCTGTAATCCTAGCTACTTTGGAGGCTGAGTTCTGGAGGACTGAGGTTTGAAGCCAGCCTATGCAGAAAAGTCCAGGAGATGTTGTTGTAATGTTGTTTTTGGTGGTGGTGGTGGTGTTGGTTTTTGCATTTTCCCCTCTCTTCCTGTTGGGGGAGTTTAAAAGGGGATGCCAAAAAGGAGGGAGGAAAGGTGAATAAATGTGATCAGCCAGTATGTATACACCATGTGGATGACCTATGTAATTTGTGGACTAGGACAGCTGGGGAAAACTGGGGGAAAGTAAAGGAAGGAGTGACATTGTTCAGAAAAAGAATGTATTCATTCCCTGACATGAAATAGTACATCCTCTGTATGACACCCTAATAGTAACAACAACAATATTTTTTAAGTCCATAAGTCCAAAATAACCAGCAAAAAAACAAAACTGGGCTGGAGATGTAACTCAAGTGGTAGAGTACCAGCTGAGCAATGAAGGTAAGTAAGTGTGAGGCTCTGAATTCAAACTCCTGAACCAGAAAAGAATCAAAATCATGTAATCAGATGTTCATAGTAACACTTTTCATAATATTTCAAACTGGAAAAATCTGAAACAGCCATATTGGATAAATGAATAAAGAAAATATAATATTTCCATACAGTGAAATACTATTTGGCAATGAAAAGGAATGTAGTTCTAATACATGCTTTAACAGGAGTAAAGCTCAAAAAATTATACTAAATGAAGGAAGCCTGACAAAGACATTGCATTTTATACCACTCCATTTACATTTATTTACATTACATTACTCCATTTATATCCACTCCATCTACATTATCTGGAAAAGGAAAAGGTTATAGAAATAGAAAATAAATCAGCCTGGGGCTACAGGGGGAGGAGCTGAACTATAAATAGGTATTAGATTATGTTTGGAGGTAAAGGGAATGTTCTAAAACTGGACTGCAATGAAAGCTATACAACTTTACACATTTACTGAAGATCACAGAATCTAAGTCCAGAAACTATGAAAGTACTAGAAGAAAACAGGGGTAATGCTTCCTAGCATGGTAATGGACACATTTCCCCGCCTTTGGACAACACCTCAAAAGTATAGGAAATGAAGGTGAATAGACAAATGGTATAATATCAAACCCAAAACGTTTTACATAGCAAAGCAAACAACACAGAGCAGAGAAAACCTAAAGAATGGGAGAGCATTTTTGCAACTATACCTCTGACAAGATATTAGCCAGAATATGTCAAGAACTCAGTAGCAAAATAGCCAAAATTTAATATATATATATATATAAAGAACTCAGTAGCAAAATAATAAACATTTAAAATAAGGAGCAGGCTGGACACTAGTGCCTCATGCCTGGTCCTAGTTATTCAAAAAGTTGAGGTATGAGGATAGCAGTTCAAATCCAGCCTGGGCAGAAACTTGCATTATATTCTTACCCCCAATTAACCACCAAAATGTATGAAAGTGGAGATGTGGCTCAAGTAGTAGAATGCCAGTCTTGAGAGGATAGTACCCAGTCCCTGAGTTCAACCACTAGTATCTGTGCACACCTGCATGTGTGTACATGTGCGTGCGCATGTGCACACACACACACACACACACAAAACAAGGCAGAAAAGTGCATGATACTCCTATCTCCAAGTAACTGGCAGAAACCTGTAAGTGGAGATGTGGCTCAAGTGGCAGAACTCCAGTCTTAAGCGAAAAAATAAAAAAAAGAGTAAGAGGTCCTGAATTAACCAAAGGAGAGTGTGAGCCCATGAGTTCACAAAACAAAACAAAATAAGCAACAGATACATTTGTATTAGACATACAAATAGCCAACAGCTGTATGAAAAAAATGTTCAACACCACTGATCATCAGAGAACTACAAATCCAAGTCAGGGAGATATCACCTTACTTCATTAAGAATGACAAATATGGGCTGGGAAGATGGCTCAGTAGTAGAGTGCTTGCCTTACATGCATGAGGCCCTGAGTTCGATTCCTCAGCACCACATAAGCAGAAAAAGCCGGAAGTGGCACTGTGGCTCAAGTGATAGAGTGCTAGTCTTGAGCTGAAGAGCTGAGGGACAGTGCCCAGGCCCAGAGTTCCAACCCCACGACACACACACACACACACACACACACACAAGACAAATTTAAAAAAAAAAATTGAAAAAAGCCAGGAGCTGGTGGTTCACACCTGTAATCTTAGCTACTCAGGAGACTGAGATCTGAGGATTGTGGTTCAAAGCCTGCCTGGGCAAGAAAGTTCATGAAACTCTTATCTCCAATTAACCACCTAAAAACCAGAAGTGGTGCTGTGGCTTAAGTGGTAGAGTGCTTGCTTTGAGCTGAAGAGCTCAGGGACAGTGCCCAGGCCCAGAGTTCAAGCCCCACGACTGACAAAAAAAAAGAGAATTAGTGTTGGTGAGCACTAGAGAATATACTTTAGTATAGCCATTATGGAAAACAGTGTGGATTCCCTCAAAATTGTACCAACTAACTGGGTATGTTAATATTAAGCCAGCCTGCAAACAAAAACAAAAACAAAAAACACCCACATATGGATGCCATGATTACTGCAACAGTATTTGCAACAGCCAAGAAATGAAAATAACCCAAGTTATTGAATGTATGGAGAAAATGTGATAGCTATACATGATGAAATCCTGTCATTGTGACAATTTAGATGGACCCTATATAATTATGTTAAGAGAAATAAACCAGGCATAGAAAGACAAGTATTAAATGATCTCACTCATACATGGACTATGTATGAGTTATTATTATAAAAGTTGAATGGCCCTTTTGGCTCTCTGAATGGCACCATGACAGTTGGCAAGAATACATGCCTTATGAAAGGTGGCAAAAAGGGAGACAAGAAGAAAGTGGTTGATCCATTCTCTAAGAAAGATTAATATATTACTCATGTAACTGTCACCCCTTTTACAATATATATATATATATATATATGTATATATATATATATATATATATATTTAAAAGCCAGTAGCCAGTGGCTCATGACTGTAATTCTTGCTACTCAGGAGGCTGAGATTTGAGGATTGCGGTTCGAAGCCAGCCCAGGCAGGAAAGCCTGTGAGACTCTTATCTCCAATAAACCACTAGAAAACTGGAAGTGGCGCTGTGGCTCAAGCGGTAGAGCGCTCGCCTCGAGCTGAGCTGAAGAACTGAGGGACAGTGCCCTGGCCCAGAGTTCAGGCCCCATGACCGACAAAAGGAGAGAGAGAGAGAGAGAGAGAGAGAGAGAGAGAGAGAGAGAAATGATGTGAAAGCACTGTCCATGTTCAATATAAAAAATACTGGGAAAACACTAATCACCAGGACTCAAGGAACCAAAATTGCATCTGATAGCCTCAAGGGTCAGGTGTTTGATATGAGCCTTGACAATCCACAGAGTGATGAAGTTGCGTTTAGAAAATTCAAGGCAAGGAGTGCCTGACCTACTTCCATGGCATGGATCTCCCCCAAGACAAAATGTGCTCCATGGGCAAAAAGTGGCAGACCATGACTAAAGCTCATGTTGACATCAAGACTGCGATGGTTATTTGTTTGCTTCATCTATTCTGTGTTGGTTTTGCTAAAAATACAAACAAAAACCAATACAACAATCAGATGTGCAAGACCTCCTATGCTCAGGATCAACAGGTCACCAAATCTGGAAGAAGATGATGGAAATTATGACCTGAGAAGTGCAGACAAATGATTTGAAAGAAATTGTTAATAAATTGATTCCCGACACCACTGGGAAAGACCTAGAAAAAGTTTGCCAGTCTCTTTATCCTTTTCATGAATTTTTTTTGGGGGGGGGTATGGTCGTGGGGCCTGAACTCTGGGCCTGGGCGCTGTCCCCCAGCTCTTCAGCTCAAGGCTAGTGCTCTGCCACTTGAGCCACAGCGCCACTTCTGGCTTTTTACTTTTTGCTTATGTGGTGCTGAGGAATCGAACCCAGGGCCTCAGGCATACAAGGCGAGCGCTCTACCTTCCCAGCCACCTTCCCAGCCCCTTTTCATGAAATTTTTGCTAGAAAAGCAAAAGTGCTGAAGAAGCCCACATTTGAACTGGGAAAATTCCTGGAGCTTCGTGGTGAAGGTGATAGTTGTGGAAAAGCTGCTGGGGACAGGACCAGTGCAGGAGTCGAATGAGTTAATAGATACGAACCAACAGACCAAGAATCTGTTTATAAATCAGATTTTGAGATCTCTCTTTTTTTTTTTTTTGGTCGGCCATGGGGCTTGAACTCTGGGCCTGGGCGCTGTCCCTCAGCTCTTCAGCTCAAGGCGAGCACTCTACCACTTGAGCTACTGGGTGCTGTCCCTCAGCTCTTCAGCTCAAGGTGAGCACTCTACCGCTTGAGCTACAGTGCCACTATAAATCAGATTTTGAATAGTGACAATAAAAGGCCTATTTGTGATGTTTTGCATCTCAAAAAAAAAGTTGAAGGTAGAATGGTGGTTACCAGGGGCTGGGGAAAATAAGAGGGAGGAAAAGGATCAATGGGTACTAAGTGATAGATGCAAGCAGTTTTGGTGGACTATCACACTGAAGAAAGTCTACAGATAATGAGATTATATTATATATGTGTTTTTTTAAGAAGATAAAAGGATTTTGAATATTTGTATCATAAACAAATGATCAGTGCTTGAGAAGATAAACAGATCAATACTTGCTCCCAACACTTCCATTGGAATATCTATTATTAATAGATAATGGTATCCCATTAATAGTGTAATTTTAATGTAGCAATGAAAATTATTGAAATATATATTTGCAATGGGCAACATGTATTGTATATAAATTATATCTCAACAAAACTGTCTCCTGGAGACAAAATAGATAGCTAATTATGGCAAGTTTGAATCAAGAAAAGATGCTGATGTAATCAGTGCTAAGGAGCCTGGCACAAATGTCTGTTTATTCAGAATGATAGCTTTTTTTTTTTTTTTTTAAGACAGGGAAGCAATTGTCCCTAGAGAAATCTATTCAGGAAATTCTAAGCAATCTTGTCAAACAGGAATGTTGGACTATATGTCTTACTGATGCCAACTGTTGGTTTGGAAGCAATGCGGGCCATTAACTCCATCCATTCAATGAAAGTCATAGAACGCTTACTTATTTGCCAAGATTATTTGTCAGACTGGAGGGGAGATAATAAAAAAGAAAAAGCACAGGCTGGCCTTTGCCCTGCCGGCATTTTGAAATGCGTTGGTCCTTTTAGGAATTTTGGACCTTCTTTCTTTCTAGTTCTTATCCTAACTCTAGGACTTAAGAGCCAAGATTCTCTGTTCTACTTCCATACCTTCCTATTCCTTTTTTCTAAACAATATTTCAAGCATATACAGAGGTACAGAACAAACATATAATAAATATCTGTGTGTCAGTTAAAGTTTCTATTTTTTTTTCTAAAAATCTTAATCATCTTAAGGAAAAAAAGTAACAGGAAGCTTCTCCTCCTTTCCTGTGCCAGTCTTTGGAACTTGTGTGCTGTTCCTAAGCTCTTAAATTTTTTTTATTGTTATTATAATGGTGTTGTACAGAGGGGCTACAGTTATATAGGCCAGGTAATGAGTACACTTCTTTATGGACAGTGTCACCTCTGTTGTGCCCAGGTCGCAGGACCCCCACCAAGAAGACTACTGAGTCAGACTTTACAGCTGTTTTAAGGTTTTAGGCTCAGGCCTCATCCTACACTCCAACACAGCAGAGCCTAGGAGGAGAGCCCTGAGCTAAAGATTTGCAGGGTTTATAAAGGCACACAACCAACCAGGTGTTTGGATTACCACCACGTCTTGCTCTGCTAGAAACAAGCAACAAGTGGTTGCTGCCTCAAAACTTTAACCCTTCATTCCCCCCCTTGACTTATGGTGCTGAGACACAATCTTGTGGCTCCGGCTCAAAACTAAACCCCAATAGTTCTTGATCTTGAACGGGTATAGTCCCTCTCTGACCTTAGCCATACTATTAAACAATACCAATAACAATCAGTTCATTTTTCTTTTCTTGAGGCGTATGCGGAGTGGTTGGGTAGGATGCTTGGAGACTTCCCATGTTTCCCCACAGTTGTCCAGGGCAAAGGGGTCAGCCTGTCTGGCGTGGGAGCAGTGGATCCAAGCAGCAGTGCCGTCCACCTTAAGGGCAGTAGATGTAGCCCGTAGCACCATGTAAGGTCCCTTCCACCGTGGTTCCAGAGATCTCAAGTTGTGCCTTCGAACAAACACCCAGTCCTTGTTTAAACGAATGGGGGGTAGGAATAGAAGCAGAATCATATAATTGAGGCCACATACTCTTATGCACCAGCTGTAAATAGTCAAGCTTACACAGAAATTCAGTATCATCCCAATCAGCAAGCAATTCAGTCTGAAGGCTAGGGATAATGGGTGGAGGGTGTACATTATTTCAAAAGGAGTAAAGCTAAGCTGATAGGATGAATTTCTTACTCTAAACAGGGCAAAAGGAAGGAGCGATACCCAGTCTGCGCCAGTCTCCAAAGCCAATTTAGTTAAGGTCTCTTTTAGAGTCCAATTCATTCTTTCTACCCACCCTGAACTCTGGGGTCTATAAGCACAGTGCAATTTCCAATCCGTCCCCAGTGCCGCGGCTATTCCCTGACTTATATTTGAGATGAAGGCTGGTCCATTGTCTGACCTGATGGTGGATGGGAAGCCATACCTGGGTAGGATTTCTTCCAGGATCTTCTTAGCCATGATGTTTGCAGTCTCATGCTTTGTTGAGTAGGCTTCAACCCATCCTGAAAAGGTGTCTACAAAAACTAGCAAATATTTATATCCAAATTTTCCAGTTTTAATTTCTTTTTTTGGGGGGGGGTCTGGTCATGGGGTCTGAACTCTGGGCCTGGGCACTGCCCCTCAGCTCTTCAGCTCAAGGCTAGCGCTCTACCACTTGAGCTACAGTGCCACTTCTGGCTTTTTTCTCTTTGCTTATGTGGTGCTGAGGAATCGAACCCAGGGCCTCAGGCATGCAAGGCAAGCGCTCTACCACTGAGCCACCTTCCCAGCCCCATCCAGTTTTAATTTCTGTGAAGTCTACTTCCCAGTACACAGCTGGCCTATCTCCATGGAGGCGAGCTCCTTTTGTAATCAGTTGATTGGGGGCATTGGTGAGTTGATTTCCTTGCCTAATTTTTACTTCTGAGTGTTGGAGCAAGTCCTGAATTCTTCGGGTTCCCATGTGAGAGACCCGATGGATTCTCTTAAGAATCCCCTTGCCCAATCTTTGTGGCAAGGTAAGTTTCCTCTCATCAGTTTTCCACCAGTCTTTGTTTCCTTCTCTGTCCTGGGGTTTATAGGCCATGGGAATTTTCTTTATCCCCTCCAAGTCTTCTTGGGAGTACTGAGGCTCAGGAGGCAAAGCTCATTGCCCTGGGTCTACTAGAGTCAGTACTTCCGCTCTGGGCTGGAGGGCTGCCTCCTTAGCTGCCTGATCAGCCAAGTTATTTCCTTTGGTTATAGAATCAGTTCCCTTTTGATGGCCAGGGCAGTGCATAATGGCAATATTTGCTGGTCTGGATGAGGCTTAAAAATTTCTTGTTTGTCTTTAATAGTCTTTCCCTCAGCTGTCAGCAGCCCCCTCTCTTGGTAAATGGCTCCATGGACATGCACAGTGGCAAAAACATACCGACTGTCCGTGTAAATGTTTAATCTCTTCCCTTTTCCCATTTGTATGGCTTTTGTTAGTGCCACTAGTTCTGATCTTTCTGCAGACATTCCCTGGGGGAGTGCTTCTGCCCACACTATCTCAGTGTCTGTGGTGACTGCTGTGCCCGTGTATCTTTTTCCATCTCAAATGAAACTGCTGCCATCTGTGAACCAGGTATGCTCAGCAGGCGATAGTGGTGAGTCCAACAAGTCTGGCCTCTTTTCCTTGGCTGGTCTCTCTTTTCATGCTCAATTTCACATTCTCTGTCCTTCCTTTTCTGTCTTTGCTCCTCTGACTCTCTCTTATTGTAAACCTTTTCCGCTGCGGCTACTAGATCCCTAATAGACTTTTCACCAAGTCTGTCTAGAGCCTGCAACTTTCACTTTATGTCTGGTGCACCTTGATTTATATAGGCAAACATAATCATCTGAGCTGACTCCTGGGTCTCAAGATCATACGGGGTATATTGACTAAAAGCTTCCATGAGCCGCTCAAGATACGCTGCCGGACTTTCACTTCCTCCCTGTCTAACCATGTTGGTAGGATCTCAGGAAAATAGGCAGCGATCAGGGCAGGATCCATGATGGGCGCTACTGTGGGGCCAGGGATATGTTTCCGGGCTGCCTTTCGGATAGGGTCTCTCTCTTTGGTGGTAAAAAGTACCTGCAAAAGCTGACTGCAATCATCCCAAGAGGGCTGATGAATAAAGAGAATAGTTTTAAGCAAACAAATTAAATCCTGGGGTTTCTCAGAAAAGGGGGCATTTTGGGTGCGCCAATTGTATAGATCACTGGTAGAAAATAGCCAATATTGGAGTTGCTGTTGACCATCCGCATCCACAGGACCTACGGCGCGTAAGGGAAAAACAGCTGCATTAGAAGGGGGGGTTGATCCCACGGCGTCGTTGAGTGACTGGCCCCTCAGAAACTTTAAGGGCAGGTGCCGAGGGTTTGATAGCTCCCTCCTCCTCTTGATCATTCTCAGGTTCTGCAAAAGGAACCTGGGAAGGGGAGTATGGGGGAGGAAACATTTCGTCTTCCAAGTTATTTCCCTGAAAAACCGGGGGGTACCTTTTCTTTTCCTCTCTCAGTTTCTTTTAAGTCTAGGGGGCTAGATGGAGTGGTGCCCATGGTTTCCAGTCCTGTCAGTCGTACAGTCCAAAAACCAATAAACAGTACAAACAAAACACATGCAGGCCTGACAGTTACGAAAAAAAGCTTATGAAGTGGGGATCTCCTGAATTGGTCCACTGACTCCTGTCATGGTGGGGTTCCACACTCACGCCCCACAGCAGAAGGAGTGGACCCACAGTGGGCAAGTTGGGCCTCGGTCAGTTCCGGCCCAACACCAAACCGACCCCTGCCCCACAATTCACACGGTGGGGTTCCAAGGACTCCCGCCCCACAAGAGGATCTGGGACATCTCCCAGTACCTCCAGGGTTGTCGTGCAAGTGCGTCCACTTCGACAACCCTTTACGAATCAGAGTGGCCGTCCTCACAAAGGAAAATGAAAGTAAAACAG